CAGCAACACGTTGGCAACATGCAGCAACATGTTGGAGTGGCCAAAATGTCCTGCCAACATGTTGGGGCATGTTGCAAACATGTTGTTGCCACGTTGCCAACATGTTAGCCACACGTGGCAGGTTTGAGACGCAGACCAAGGGTAGCACGATCTGTGGAGGGGACTATACAATGACGGCTATGTGTGAATGCCGAAAGAAAGTCCACCTCAAAAGGTAAGTCTTGCTTTTTGAAGCCAGAGTAGGTATTTGTCTGAAAACTTATTATTGTGTTTTAGCCACCAATCTGCAATGACCCCAAATAACAAGAATCAAGATAATTTATGGTCGTGGGATCTCGTCCTGACTGTTTATCTTGAAGAGGTAAAAAGTTGCATTTTTTCTGATTTCGTCAAGAATTTGTTGCTTTTTCTCCTTAGTTTGATAATAGCGTGTATTTAAGCGTCACAGCAAGCATCTAGCATCGACTGATGGAAACCCCTGATAGAAGAAAGACCATTACGAGGACTAATTAGGAAGAAGCTGATCCAGATTATTCATGTCTCATCATTTATCACAGTTCTCATTCTCATTCCAGTCATGGCCCCGTCATCCAACTGTTTAATTCCTGTGGTTGAATTGGAGTATGAAGTTTATGAGCATTTAATTCTAGCTTGCCCACGTTTTCATTGCTATCGCATTTTCATATACTATTACTCTAAAACTGGCATATGTATTATGTTTGGATCTATGTATACATATTTAGTTTGTTCATCAAAGTACCCTGTTATTTGAAGGCAGTGTCCCACCAGACTGGAGATCTGGCTCTCGTGGTAATGTAATAGTAGACCCCCTACCTAATCGTGTCTGAAGTTCGGAGCGGAAAAGGGGTCTATCAAGCCTGAAGTTTGCTCCGAAAGCGGCCCGAATCTTACGGTAGGCCCCAATGCCGCCCACACAGCAATATCGATTGCAAGGCCAGAGTGCGTATAGCGCACACAGTCATGAGCGCAGGGTCCCGCAACAACTCTGCCTCTCTGCCTTGCATCCATCTCGTACCCGCCGAGCCTATCGTAAGATTCGGGCCACTTTCGGAGCAAATTTCAGGCTTGGTAGATCCCCTTTTTCGCTCTGAACTTCAGTCATCACTTAGGTAGGGGTCTCCTATTACATTGCTAAGAGAGCCAGATACCCCCAGTCTAGTGGGAGCCTTTAACTAGATTCAAGTTATCTCGTCATATCGTTGCACAAGTTACTATCAACTTTGTTGTAATCATTACTTCATACACACTCAAGGACTCGCGCCGTGCGGGCTGCCAGCGACGACCTTACAATCGCTCGTTGGTGTGTGCGCTTGTACGGTCGTCAAGGGCGTTGGCGCGGTTAACGCGGGGCGCCCGCACGGTTTCTAATGCTTGCCGCTTGCGCGGGGAAGGTCGGCTGCTCGTTTGCTATTGGAGTAAAATTCTTTGGGATGATCATTATCATGACTATTTTCTTTGGATATGTTGATCCTTTTCACATTCTGGGAACATGGAGCGATGCAGCATTGGCCAAACTTTCCATAGGGAAGCCTACGCCATCAATTTTGATAAGTGTAGCCTCACACAGGTTCATCCCAGCCTTGCTGGCGAAGGAAAATGTTGATAGCACGATAAGTCAATGCTTAGCCAGCCTAAACGCTGCGTTTTATCTCACGCAAGTACCGTTTACGCTCACAATGTATGCAATTAGTGAGCAGAAGATAGAGGTCACTGTTGGCCGCTTGCACGGCAACAGGTATTGCCGACCGATAAGACGGACGCATTGCTGGCCGCTTGCTCGAGCAATAGTACTGCAGGCAGTTTGCACGGTAACATTGCCTGCCGCTAGGATGGCGCTTCAGCTGTTTGCCGCACGCACGAAAGCTTTAGGCTTATGTCGACCGCTTGTACGCTAGCCCTTATAGGAGGACCGCTCGCGGCGCGAATCCCTGAGCACGTCTTGTTGTTATCACATTTGGAAGAGTAATGTGTTCTGTACGTATTAAGCTGGTGACAGCGAACAATAGCGCGCACTGCATACACAGGCGGCGGGAAGACATATCGCTCGCTGATTCAATCTCCAATACATTAAAGTGGGCTAGGGGGAGACTTTGGTATGAAAAGGCTCCCCCCAGGGCATAATTCGTAGGAGGCCGTAAACCCCCACATACTGCATACCATCTGAAAGCTCTTGATGAATAAAATCTAACCTATAAAGTCTCAACATGATTCATGCAGTTCTGAAGAAGTTATGAGCTGTTGAAGTTTAAGCGCTTTTTTACCTGCTTTTTCAGACTCTGGATCTCGGAGGTGTTTCAATGAATTAAAACGGCTAAAATATATCCTGATAAGGCAAACCTTACTCTATAAAACTTATGAAGTCTCAACATCACACACTTTCACATTAAAGATTTATATGAGTTTAACTGTCAACTGTCAAAAAACACGCAAAAATGGCGTGAGTATTTAGACTTCTGGTTTTCAAAGACTGTCTCTCAAATCCACTCGATTCTTTCACTATCTGAAGAGCGCCATTTTCTCTTCAAAACCTATGAAGTCGCAACTGCTGAAACCTTCAAACAACAGATTTATAACAGTGGAAATTTCGCGTTTTTCACTATTTAATTAATCAAAATTCTGGTTCTCGGCCGTTACTGCCTGGATCGATCTACTTTCTTCGCTGTACGTTATAACAAAATTTGCTTAATAAAATTTGTACAGTTTCGCTAAGTTTTACTTCCAAATACACCATTTACTGAACACGTTTATTTTAAATATATATGCCGCCGTATACATAAATATATGCTTTCAATAATCTTTTTTGCGTTTGTTTTCTTATTTTCATTCTTTATCGTCCAGCGAAAAAATTTTTATTCCAAAAGTGAAGGTGGTCACCCTGTACCAGCTCAAAAGTGAAGGTAGGGGGAGAACCGGTTCCCACTATCGCATCTCTGGTCCATCCTCGATTACCTGATGCTACAGAAAGTCCATTGCGCGCCGCCTGTTGGTAAAATCAGTGCGCGCCGCCTGTGCGCTGCAGTTGCACGCCCACAAATAATGGCGCGCCGCTTGCGCGCAAAATTGTCTGAGCAGTGGGCCGCCTCCCGGATTACTGGTCCTGGAGCGACATGCAACAATTTGCAAAAGGAGTTGGCCGCGAAATGCGGCTCAAACTGACGGCCTTCGTTCCCCTTTCCCTTTCCCATGCCTGAGGTGGCGGAGGCGAGGCTCCCCTCGGTACGCCACTGGCAGGCCTTCCTCATGCTCTCCCAGTGCTAGTCTTAGAACTCACGTAATGCTGACCCTCAAGAATATATAAATTACAACAATTACCCATTCTAAATGGTTTTCCATGTTGAATCTGTAGCTTTGGGAGGAAGTCTTGTAGCTTCAGGAGAAACTTCTGTGAGGATGAATAAGTGCAGACTTGAAACGGTTACTTCATAAGGCTTAGTAGCCATCTTAAAGGCAGTGTCCAGGCCATTTCTGGGCGCATGGGTTTTCCGCCTGAAAACTGATGAGAGGGTCCTAACTAAAGCACCGCCCAACAGGCAGCGCAAATTGTTCATTCACGGTTGAGAAATCCGTCCCCGAAAATCTCGCACCTGCGCCGTGACCGTAACCCGAAAAGACTTCGCTCACTTAAACACTACGCTCGCGCTGGGATCGACCCATGTCAAGTGTTACGGTCACGGCGCCGCTGCGGAGTGTTTGGGGATGGACTTCTCAGCCGCGAATGAATGATTTGCGCTGCCGTTTGGGCAATGCCGTACTAGGACCCCCTCAACAGTTTCCAGGCAAAAAACCCATATGCCTAGATTTGCCTTGGCACTGCCTTCAAAAGAAAATGAACACCTTGAACTACATGCTTGAGTGAAGATTCTTCTGTCCTAGGTGGAACCCTGAAAGCGGCAATAACCCAGTTAAACCTTACCCAGTTTACCCACTTGCATATAATTATCAGCTACAAATCTAGATCATAATACAGCGATTAATTTTTTTTTGCACAAAACTGCAACAAAGAAAAAAAACCAGCATTGTTTGGGCCGTTAGATTATTCGAACTATTTGAATAGTCGAATATTCGACCAACCCCATTTATTCGAATATTCGTTCATTCGAGTTTTTAAATGTAGCATTATTCGAATATTCAAATTCGAATAATCTAAAAATCACAGATCGGTTTATCGAACCAATAATATTCGTTTGTTCGAATATTTTTCAAAAACCGATTATTCGATATTCATTCGTTCGACGAAATTTTTCGGTCGTTTCAACTATAGCCGGCGGTGACATCCATATTGAAAGCCCTGTAAACTTCTGTCCATCAAAGGATAGAAGCGTGCGGAATTCTTCAAAATCCATTTCCGAGTCCTTTGTAAACCCCCAAAAAACAACATTTGCCTTATTGTTTCCGCTATAACTTCCACATCACTCTGCTGTCAAATTGTCGTCTGCAAAGCCATTTTCGATTCGACTTCAGATTATAGAGCGTATCGATACAACGTTGTTACATGAATTTTAAAGAACAAATTCTTGTTTTAGCGCTCTCGTATGTATACATTTTCAAAGACGTCTAATATTTGGCTATATATCGGAACACAAATGGCATCACAGAAACTTCGATATATATAATATATAATAATATATATATATTATTCTGTAAAGATTAGTCGGAGTGAAAAGGCAGTGTGTTCCACGCATTTTTGAAGAAAGCCATATGCATATCCACTTTCTGTTCTCCACAGATTTAAAAAAAATATGCGAAGCGATCATAAATCTATTCATGCGCTGCTGCTTTTTACTGACTGGGCCTGCTTTGTCTTCATTGAATTTCTGAGGTGTGTACTGTTATAAGTGTTTGTTTTTGAAGAGTCTCAGCAGTTCACATTCAATGTTGATTGGACATATGCAAGCGGCCAACATATCTGTGATCTTTGCTTTCGAGAATGACATAATGTTCGGAAGTAATAACTTTCATTAGTGCTGGCATTCCTCATGCATGTGTTACGTTTATTAAAGAACCTTCATTCAAAATGCGAACTTTCGAGAACATGCACTTTTACTCTAGAACAACTTATTAGAAGGAAATAAAATAGAGGTCAACGTGATTATAACATTCTCTGCACTTGTCTGCTAGTATTGCGTCTACTGTTCTCCTCCTCACTGCTGCTTCTGCTTCTGTCAGGATCCATATAATCTGCATTCACACCACCACGTCTTCTTCGAGATACAATCATTTCACGCTCTTCCTTCGCAAAAATCGTCTCAAGGTTTAGGACACCTGGAACGATCGATATACAAATCTTTAATAGGAAATAATCTTGCAAGTCATAAAATTCTTACATGGAACATCCCGCAGCTTTACTCAAAAATGTTCGAGAGCACTGAATTACGTCTATGAGCATTGCGCAAAATTTTATCACCTATTCTTTCATTCTTTCCAGGAACAGAGTCCAGAACTTACTCTATGCTTATGAGTAAACATGGGCACAAATCTCAGAGATTGACTTCTTTTTATTTGTTTTTCATCATATTATTCTTGCTTTTCCTCGAACTGCGTAAACATATGTCGTCTATGGGTTTCGTCATTGCAGGTATGCCATGCGCTTGTTGCCTGCGCTTGCATTTTCCTATTGTAACACAAAAGGGCTGGATTGGCCAATGTTTTCCAAGCAACATAATTGAACAGCTTCGTCCTTATGAACTCAATCCACTAATTGTAAGTATTTTATCAGCTTTCGTATGAGGTCTTTTGTGCCGCATTATCAAAAATCCCATAAACAAGCATTTTGAAATAAAAGTTGGTGGCCATGGAAATTACATTGCTTACCTATGTCAAAGGTTTTCTTGGGAACTTTTCCCTGGGTGATGTACGATTTTGGTAGGGCGAACTTAACTTTTCTAGAGCCAGGCTGAAATTTTCATTCTAAAAAGAATAAACACGTACAAACGATTCCATACCCTGATGCCATCGTCACAGTCGTGGTAAACTTTGAAAACAGGATCAATAGGGGTCAGCTCAGCTGTGCCACCGGCCAACTGGAACTCGCCATTTTGGTCGGTGTATCCTTGGTCGAGAAGATCGTCTGGATCGGGACCTAAAGATGCGATTGTAGCAATCTTACTCGTTGTAAGTGTTATTATTCTGATCTATTCAATCGGTTAGCATTTAGTCAATAATTCTATCGGTGGATAAAAAGTCTAAGTTTATCTCGTCATGCAAATTTCATGAAAAGTTGTTTGTTTTCATTATCCTGGGCTTTGTGTTGAAGTAGTTTGAAGCTACCATTATGCAACTACTTGAAATTTCGTCTTATAAAGGACGGTTTTGCTCCAACATAGCTATTCTCCCAAATCTCAGGTTTTTGATTTTCTGAGTTACATTTTCATGCTGTGATGGATATGGAGATGTGTAATTTGTTGATTGAATACAGACAGGTTTCCTCTGGCTAGCTAATAACAATATTAATATTGATTCGCCGGTTAGAGTTTTCAATATTAAAATAAATTAACTTGCATAAGCGCTCATAAAATGGATATATTTCGCTTCCATCCGCCTTTCCCTCATTTGGAAATAATTTCTATTTCACTTTCCAATTCCCACTGGAGTGAGTTTCCCAGGGATACCAGGTATCGGACAAAAATCTTTTTGCAATATTGGTACGAGCCGCAAAAGCAACCGAATTTATGCCAACCTAACATTTTTAGCAATTTGCAAGATCTACAGAAAAATAATTAGCTGCCTGGTTAGAAGATCATCACTACATCCACGCCATATGTGTTACTTGTAAGCAACCGATTTATCAGATCGTATTGGACATTTTTAGCCAGAAAATTATTCCAGCAAAATGATAAAAACACTACGTAGGTTTTGGATGTACATTACCACTGTCCTCCTCCCACAGCTTCACACGTACGTTACTCGCTGGTTTCGCTCCACATAACAGCGTTCCTCGCACAGCGATGGACTGGTCACGGAATGCCAGTGCAATTCCCACGAGAGTGAGGAGCAGAAGATAATTCATCTAAAAGCTTTCAATGATGGTGTGTAAGATGTTTCATTATGCGAAAAAAGATTATATACTAAAGGAGAAAGGGTACTGGACCGCAAGAACTGTGGACGCTGTGGTGGACTGTGTTACTTCGACAGATAACACTGTTTTGTTTCTGATAAGGAGAGACGTAAATACTAGGGGGGGTTAGATTGTGGGAAAGTATAGGGTAATGTTAGTGTAGCATGAAAAGGGCAAGGCGACAGAAACTTTTCTCGCCTATGACTCATTGTTTCTGGTACAAGGTAGAAAGGAAGTCGATTTTATTCTGCCTGACTCCACAAGAATGTTCATCAGGAAAAAAACTACTTACATGTAGCTTGTTTCCACTACTACAAAAGAGTAATAATGGCACAAGGACAGTATACAATGCTCAAAAATCAAAAAAAGCAATGCGTGGGGACAAAATTCTGTAGAAGAAGAGCAATCTTTGGGAAGCAGAACTACGGTTTAGAGCTTGCCGAAAATCAACGACAAACGTAAATGTATTAATCTCCCAATTTCATCCACTCTTATTACAATTTAGTGCAAGGCAGGAGTCGAGTTAATGGACAACTCAAACCATACCAGTCCACAATTTGATTTGATAAAAAACCTTTTACTTCAGTCTGAGTGACAAAACTACAAAACCCTACTGAAAGAGGTCTCTAAAACATTTGTCCTGTGCTGTACAACTTCAAAATGGTCATGACGACTAATTTTGCAAGAGTTGCAAGAGTAGTAAAATTAAGAAAACAAAATAAGTCCCTGATATTAAAATGGCAAGAGTTGGCCTAAGCAGACGGATTTCTAATGCACTCAAGCTCAAGAGCAACAGCTGGCAGCCAATTTCCTATCAACAGCAGAGAAACATTCATCATCGACTTGCTAATCACCATTCTGACGCGCAACTGCGACTAGCTGCTCCGACAAATTGCTTGAGAAACACTATTGTAACAACTTGATAGTGCAGAATTCTGATTAACTAAGCGACATATCAGAATAAGACATATGTATGTCAACTGCTGAATGATGAGTGCATTGCAAATTTGCAGAGACATACTAGTATCTCGTACTCGTTGTGCATCTAGTAAAGCTAATGAATAAACACTCATTTGAAGGCAGTGTCAGCCTCTTCTGAAATTTGTTTCAAGGCATATTTTAAAGCAACCAGAGCTGCTTTCATGATTCCAAATTGGAAACTAGCCACTTAATTGATCTTAGCAAAAACCCTCCAGTTAATTGTTTGAACATCACAGTTTTATGAAGAACTTGGTAGTCAAACGGTGTTAGTCTTATGACAAAGTCAACATTAAAGGCATCGTTTTATATGAGTTTTCAAATGCAGAGAAAAACAAAGAAAACATGCAGAAACTTTGTTTCCATTTGCCTCTTTCTAATTCGCAAGACGTCGAAATAATTATTTTTCATCTGTCAATACCGCCGATGGTTTATTAGAGACTTGTTTCAAATTTTGACGCTATAAAATGTCTGTAGTTCTTATCGTGTACAGCGGATTTTGCTATTCTTTTTGAAAAAATATTCAAACTGAAAATTACTGAAGGTTCTCCATAAGCAAGTCTTGAACACTGAATTTTCTCCATAATGGTCTCACCGACTTATATCCTTTTCCCTTCGCTTCTCTTACCGAAGTGCCTAGTCCGAATGAAAGACCATCGCATCACTTCCACTTCAATCACCGTCAAAAAGGTCGTTTGCGTTCACAATTTTTTGTTTAGTCAATAGTTTTGTTTGAACACATTCAAAGAATCTCCAGAAGTGTATGTTAACAATCAACGTCATAAGAATAAACATTCACCGCAAAGCACATATTTTGCAAGGAGACATTACTTCTATGTAATAGTGTCTTCGCATTGGACGAGTAGAGTTTTTTTTTTCAAAATCCACAAGCTATGGGTAAAAATAGAGAAGACTATAAAACTTGCTATTTATCAAAGCACATGCGTTTAGTTACATGAATCAAGTAAACAGTAAAATAAAGCTGCTTTGCACAAGGACGGAAAGATTTTCATACCTTCCAAAATTTTTGTTCCGTTTTTCAAAAAATCTAGAGCTTTGTAGTTCGTTGCGCACATGACACACCGAAAGAATAAATGTTTTCAAATAAATTATTTTGAAAATTCAATTATTTCGAAGTTTTTTGAAATAATTAAATTTTATTTCATTTTGCATAACCGGAGTGACTTCCGCCGTTGTATTAGTACTTATGCTTCCAAGAATCCATAAATTATCTGAAAAGAAAAAGAAGGATGAAATGATTACTGAGAGGTATAAAGAAGGTTTTGAAGTGGTTTTAAAGTGCTTTAATAAATACATGATTCGGCATTTACTGTGACTCATGCATTGAAAGTTGAAATTGCCAATGCTTCCTCCGCGCCAAGTATGGGATCTTGCCGTAGTTTCTAGGCTCTTCAGAGGAAGACAAAAGAAATGAAACGGTATTTATATTAAAACCAAGTAGTTTCTCCATTTTTTGAAGATTTTTAAGCTATGATACCGCTTACTTAACTCCGCTCGGCGAGGTGCATCCTCTGTCGTATACAAAGATATAGGGTTTCACGGTTTTCTTTCAAAAATCCAGAGCGGTATCATACTTTCTAGAAACCTCTATGATTTAGAAAAGGTCTGTTTGTTTGTTGAGCAGTTCTTAAGAGAAAAAATGCTTTGATTGAAACAAAAGATTTCCTTGAATCATTCAATTACTTGAAAGACCAGCTTTCCAATATTTGTTGCTACAAACACATTTCCGTGGATTCTTTTTCCGCGAATCTCTTGCATATTCAGATTTTCGCAAAAAGCGGGCAAACATCATAACAACATTCAAAAAATATTTACACAACAATTATTGGTTGGTTGTAGAGCTTGTCAAACATAGGGTCTTTTGTATAAAATTTCATTTGTACAAATTTTATTTCTACAATATAGAGATACATAAAACTTCTCTCATGGTGTTACCAAAATAAGTATTCATCAAATTGCAACTATGAATTATCAAGAGAACCATGATTGTGCAATTAGACCAGTATCGGATAAGAACCAAATTCCACACGAAGCTTTGGCACTTCATAAGCATAAAGACCAAATTCTGAAGCTACTTAAATTCTCATCCCTGAGATATGCAAGGCAACGACTACGAATTGACTAGCTTAGTAACACAATTTTCTATGCAGGATCATCATGCTGCTCAAAGAGCTGTAATTGAAATGGTTTCTCTGTCTACGAGATTACTGAGCGGTTTCACTACGATATGCGGTCGCTGTCCATCACTTTGCCCGTCCACGATATTTACTTCTGCCAGCCACCTGGTCGGGTATTGGCGAGAAACCTGAAAAAATTTAGTGGCTAGAGATTTTCCTCCCAATCCTTTGGTCTGAGCTTCTGCTAAAATCTACGTGAGTTGTAGCGGCGGTCCGAGAAATTTTCCACGGGGGCATGACAAAAAATTTTTTTGAAAGAAGGTGCGTAACGATAGCAACTTAATAAAATTTTTAGAGATGCATTTTTGGGAGCCCATAACCGAAATTCTAGAAAAAGATCGTGGCTGTATCCAAGTGAAGAAATTTTTTACTAGGCTATCCAAGCATCTAGAAGTCATTTTAGTTATTTTAGTTACAAATAAAAATCGCCTACACAACCCTTATAGCTCCGATAAGTAACTTTTGAGGATTATGCGACCATTCTCGAGGAAGACGCGTTTTCCTACCCCTCCCTCCCCCCTTGGACCGCCACTGGTACATTGCTGATACATTGCAAAATCCTAACCTGACTACCATCATCCCACCCACTGTCAGTGTCATCATCCATCAGCATCAAATGCGCAGAAGCAGGATCAAAACATCCAGTAGGCCACTCCATATTCGGAAGACGACGATGTGTAAGAGGTTGCCAGACAGGCGACGACGCTGTGTTTGCTGAAATTGGATTCAGAATAGACAAAAGCTATTATTTTTGGCTTATAATATGCAAGCCGTAATGACAGTGAACAATATGTTATTTTATGCGATTATTTACATTACGATATACGGTAGAACGAGGAGCATGTCATACGATAGGATCACTTCGTGCACATTTTTTTATTTCTTTTCTGTTCAAAGTTAGAAGCACTATCACATAATGTTGCGCTTGCTGCAAAAGTTTCTTTGAAGGTGGAGCTGCGATTTTATTGAAAGTATAAAAGAGAAGCTTTAGAATGGGTCCACAATAGCAACTAGCGCTTTTATCCTATATATCCTCTCATTTGCGATTTGAGAGTTTCATGACGATCTTTTGGTACGCGTTAGATTACGTCTCGCAATGATGAATTTGCGTTAAATTCACGAAAAAATATTATTGTACATCACAAGAAATGTTTTCGAGTGCGTGGCTAACGCCAATCACTTTCATTCACAAGTTTTGCCTCCCAAAAAAATCTTCCAAATTGGGCCAAAATGTCACGGCGCGCACCAGCATCGCTTTTCCTGCCTCATGTTTACGGTTTGCATGAAAAATATACTAGTAACTTCTTTCGTACGGCTAGTGTTCGAATCAAGTGACATGTCTCAAATCAGTCGTGTAAATCACTCTTTTTCTCTCTAGGCTCTTGACAACGGCTGTATCAAGAACTCAACAACTCAGATGCCAGGACCTCAGCAGAAGGGCATAGAAATTGTAATCTGCTGGGCCATTCAAGCCGCCATACCTATTTTGTATACAGGATGTCCCAAAAAAATGTGAACACTGTTTGATCGTTAATAACTCGTTTGCTTTCATGTCTTTCGCTGAACTTGAGGTACTGTTCTGTAGAGCGGGGCTCAACTTAGATTTATAGCATGGAACAAATTTCTGATCTTTCTTCGTTACTGTAGGATTACGGCGTAAACTTTGAGAAGGATATCAGGAAAGTGAAAGCGATTTTTGCCTCCGAAAGACAACCAAATAAGCCAGAAACTCTTGTACTGGACTAATCGATGTCAACGATTCTAACTGTGAAGTTTGCACTTCACTGCGATGCTTCCTTCACAAGTTATGGCTTAGGGTAACATCTGTTTAACCAATGGTCGTCAGAAGTGTGGTAACACCACTAAAAGAGCTCAAAACCGTTGAAAAGTTGTGTACTGTAATCAGCACATTTGAATACGTTACTACACGAATTTCTAGATTTTTTTGGAATTTTTTTCCAATAAAAGTCCTATTCCACAGTGGCGCAACATGCTGAGATTTTATACCGTAATCCGACAGTAAGGAAGAAAGATAGGAAATTCTCTTCATGCTGTAAATCTAAGTTGAACATGAAAGCAAGCGAGTTATTAACGATCAAACAGTGTTCACATTTTTTTGGGACACTCTGTATAAAAGGGTCATCATTGATCAAATTTTGTAGAAAATGATTTCACTCACTGGTGACGGTGTCAGCGTTAGCTTCAGCTACGACGTAGCGCAACGAGTAATCTTTCTTGCTCTTGTCGTGATTGACCGGCTGGTAAACGAGATCTTGACGATGCCTTCGTGAAGTACAGCATCGACAACAGCAGCATCGTATACACCACGGTAGCGAATCTATTTTTTCATGCCATTTAGCTCTAAAATAATTTGTTGACCAAGCATGAACGAAGGTTACGCAGAAGGTAAGGTATGAGCTTACATGAAGATTTCGCGATATTCTTTGTTGAACACGAAGTAAATCACGCAATTCACAGAAGAGTTGAAGACAACGAGGAAGTTGCTAGCATCGGAGAGGAGATTCCACAGAATAGGATCTGGTTCGAAGAATGTCTCGACTATGTTCACCAGAAGGCCCTAAAAAGCTTTCGGTTTTCTTTTGCCATCAGAGGTAACAAGAAACTTCAAATACGTGAGAATAGCGTATAAAGTAAAGGAGTGCACTTTTCAGAGTTGTTCAAGTTATTTGAAAGACATAGCAAAAGTCCATTTCTAGCGCATTTTGAGCTAAAGCTATGGAGGCGAAGGCATTTCAGGCACATCTTCGACTTCGAATACTTAAAGGCAGCGTCCAGGCAAGATCCATCCACCCAGATTAGCACATAGTTGTAAAGAGGGGCCCATGAGTATCCGATCTGCGTTGGTCCAATCCTTTGACGTGCCCTCTAAAAGGAGATACGGGTCTGTGATACGTATCACAAGCCGCCCCTTCGTATCACCCCTGAGGACGAGTGCTTACGCAGGTGTGCAGTTGCATTGCAGTTGCATTGCAGTTGCACTGCACACTGCAGTGCAACTGCATCCGTACAGTTGCAGCTCCTCCCGCTGGCATGACGATGGGGACGCGCAATTCGAAACTCGTCCGCTCCTTGAAGAGAGGGTCCCCAAGAACCGGGTTTTTTGGGAGTTTTGAACAATTTGGACTTTACAACTGTAATCAGGGCCACGGAAAGGCCCCAGAATGGCAGAAACATGAGAGGCGAAATTTTGCCCGGACGCTGCCTTTAAGTGACTAAAGAGCCTTGCTTGATTGTTTAAGTAGCTTTTTATATGATTTATTCGTGACCATGTTGCCCCTTATCGTATTCGAGATTACTGATTGGCCTGCTCGAGAGGGCAATGGGCGAAAGTTTTCCAGTATGATGGGTCGCTTAGTCATTTAAGCTGCGACTCAAGCAGTGGCTTACTTAGCCTCATTTAACTCCAGCTTAGCCCCAGTTAGTTTCAGCATGAGAGGACCAGAATCCCAGTTATCCTGGACAATGTCTTCGAGTGTACAAATACAGAGTGCCCAAAAAATGTGCGTACTATTTGGTTGCCAATAACTCACTTGTTATGAAGTCTTTCGAGAGGCTTTATGGACCAGTTCATAGAGCTGGCTTCAACTTAGATTCGTAATATAGGGCGAATTACCGATCTTCCTTCATTACTCTGGGAGTACGGTAAGAACTCGCTGCATATGGCCCTACTGGGAGATAAGCCGTTCGGAAGAAGATTTCCTCAAAAAAATCTGAAAATTTGTGTAACAAAGTTTTGGTGCATGCTGATTTCATTGCGTAACTTTTTGCGCCTTCTCAGATCTTCTCGGATGACGTAACCAAATTTTTGACAAATAAATCAGCTGTTACGGAGTATCTAGCTTAACATGGGCAATGCTGTGAAATGCGAGTTTCATATTCGAAATTGGCGACTACGATTAATCTGATGTAGAAGTTTTCAGCTTCTTTAGTCTTTGTAGGGGAAAATACACTTAATGATGCAAAATCCTCCCCAAAGTTTCCACTGTAATCCTACAGTAAGGAAGGGAGAACGGTAATTCGTCCCATACCACGAATCTAAGCTGATGCCAGCTCCACAGAATGTTAGCCAATGCATTTTGTAGAACTACATAACAAGAGAGTTATCAAATCAAACAGTAGGCACATTTTTGGGACACCCTGTATAAAGCCATCAGCACAAACTTCACTGATTTTTTTGGCTTACCGGAGTGTTGCAGGCCAGGAAGAGAATGACAACCATAATCATTGTGATAGTATCGTCGCCGCTACTGGAACTCGCTTTTGGCTTCAAAAGCTTATCCGAGGGTTCCATCCTAAAGAGAAGGCGACGTCATCCACATGCAAACGAGCAGCAAACCCAAGCACTTACATTTCTTTCTCTTTGTTTTGTTCTATACTTTGACGTAAGACGATGATCGCATTGAGGCAGAGAAGAAACAGAAAAGGCAACAGACACATGAGCACCATGTACATATAGACGTTATAGACCAAGTTTACAGCAAAAAATAGCGATGTAGGGCAGATTTCGATAATTTGCTCCTAAAGAGTGCAAATATTAGTTTTGCGGTGTATCCAGTGCTATCGACAGTCTTCATATATTCGATAGTAATCAAGTGGTTCTGCGGTATTGACAACAATTGCGCGTCAGTAATGATTCTGTGGCGCAGTACTTAAAGCCCATGCAATAGAATGTTTACATATGTACAGTCTGTTCCAATCGGGATCAGGCCGAACCGTTGGCTCAAGTTGCTCGCTCGCAGCTCTAGGAGTCTGCGCTGCATATGCGCGCTGCCGAATAGAGCGAAGAGATTGAAGAGGGAGCAGACAAGCAGGCGTGGGCGTCACGCAAAACGCTAGCGACGCGGGCTTCCGCCATGCCAGTTTTGGCGTGATAAGGATTGAGACAGACTATAGGTCGTCACCGTAGGTTGACTGTATTCACAGTCAAAATTATTCAAGTGTAACTCACTCCGCTTGCTTCGTGGAAGCATTTTCGCAAATTGAACTGTGGAAATCTCAGCGAGTTATACAGCACGGATACAACCATAATAGTCGAACAAATCTGTTTTGCTCGTTTTATGGTACAGTAATATTTTGCTTGTAGCTTCCAGCAAACCTGAAAATTTGAAGAAAGGTAAAAGCAAATCCAATGAGTTGTTTGTTTGCTTACGTTGACGTAACAATCGAATGCAGCAGCAACGGTGAAGTAAATACTGCATGTTTGAGCCATGTAGCCGAAGGGGAGCATGTACACTGTTGTGTATGGTGCTCTCGCCAGCTCAGGTATATACGAACGAGCCGAATCTAAAAAGGATGGTAATATTCACTAATTTCGTTATTTCTAAAAGCTTTTCTGCCGAATGCCTTTGTGCTACGACAAATGTTGACTTCTACCCTCTAGTTGTATTTGATTACAAGCAAATTATAACTAGGAACTTTGCTAGTTCCCTCGAGTTTCCAAGTGCATCGACGACAAAAAGCTAAGTGTATGTTTGCTTTTGTTGCAATAACTCAAACAAATCAGGTTTGCTCTCAGACAGAAAGTGAAGTCTCTGCTGTTCCATTCACTGCATAAGTCATTCGAAATTTGAGACACGGTGGCAGCATTGTTCTAGATTTTTGAACATTTCAAAGCTGTAGCAACAGCTGCCAAAACAGATCAGTTGAATATATTTGCATTAAGAAATCTACGGCGCTTTTGCTTTTTGTCGCTTGCGAAGAAAAAAAGCTGAACTTTGTATTCTATTTTGATTTTCTCATAATAAGAGATGAAGAGGTGAAGGCTTTGTTACCGTCAACATTACCGACTTTTGCGGCAGGCAATTCTCTATTCGATGTCTTAAAAATCGTGAAGCCGTATTTGCTGAATTCTTAATGTATTACAGAATGGTATAATCTCTTCCCTTAAAAGGCCACATAGTAGCGATTCTTCTCAAAAGCTGTCGTCTGTGAGTTATCCGCTAAAGAGGGTGTGTAGCCCTGATAATGCAAGCATAGATAGACTTTCAAGGTCCACAAAGGGTTCCTGCCCGTTTCTAAATCTCTAAAGATTCTGATTTGTGTTGCCGGTTCAGAGAGCCCTAAACCTAATTTTAAATGTGCGTATTTCATCACGCTGCTACGTGATGGAGAAAGAGAATTAGCCCACCCGGAGGCGCATAAATCAACGATGGTACCCACTTGGCTTTTACCGATAGCGTGATTTGTCAAAAGGGTGAGGTTATCCAATGCATGGGATCTCTGGCAAATCCCCATTGCAAAAGCAGGCAAGATCACGCAGGTCAACAGTCTCAAGCTTAAAAGTGAGCGCTATCATTGCATACGAAATACTGAGCATCACAACAAATTTTGTCTTCGCCCTGAGATAATTTCAATGAGTTACATAGTACAATTGCTACGATTTTTCCTTTGAGCAATCTGATTTTCTATTGCCATGTTGTATATCTCGAGATTTCTTGGCAAAACTGAAATCACTTTAGCTTCAATTAACAGATAATTACAACGTCCTAGACGGAAAACTTTCAATAATTTGAACTTTAGTATTGCGATAGCAGGAGGACTGATATTTGACAACTTTTTCCTCGCCGTTTCCGGCCGTCAGTAAATACAGGTAAGGACGATTTTACACTCACTACTAATCTACTATTTCAAACCCTGTTTCACTCATTTACTTTGACATTCTACCAAAAGCAAGAAACTGCTTTAATATTGCATTTCTTGGCTTGTGTATGATATACCAATAACACTTACCTATCCAAAATATAAAGAGACCCGTGAGGATAACCAGAAAGTCACTACAGGCAAGGAAGAGAAGATAGGTGTTTGCAGAGTTCTGCATCCTGGAAATAACTTCATGATTACATCGCCTTAGCGAGATCAAAACTATTGCCACAGACCTCTTCCTTGAATACACGTAAACATTGACGATATTCGTACAAACTCCAAAAAATGACAGTGGAGGCAGGGCAATGATAATCAGCGCCAAGTTGCACCTAGAATTAACAATATTTTTTCCAGATGGAGATTTACTTTTGTGATGTTTGAGGCACTTTTGTACGTTAACGTGAAGTACACTTACTTGGCATAGAGCGGAGAATAGTCTTCTGTTTGAAGATCCGAGCACATACATTCCGTAGTGTTCGCCTCGACCTCATAGTCGACCATGATGCTAAAAGCGAATGATGATCTGACAGACGTCCTCAAAGTTCACCCACGTCGCAAACACATGTGTTATAAGATTAGCGTTTCCTTTCACAGCTTTTGCCTTGATGTGTGACGGAAGGCAAAAGGGCATCACATACGTCTGTTTGCTTTTCTTCAAGCTACTTTTTATACATCGGTTTTGCCAAGTATCCTGCCTTACTAGGATACTACTTTCGTAGCGTAAGCAATATATAGAGACAGACCCAGTCTCTATCACATCCATCATTTTCTCGCAATTGTTTGTTACCCATCACTTTTATTAACAGAGACAGGATAAACTTTGAATTCCGACTACGCTCAGAAATAAATTTCGACCACTCATATTTCTACTGTAGAGCGAAAGTACTTGGATAAGACAAGATCAACTAGTGGCTGATGTAGTGACAGGTATCCTTTTCAAAGGTGATAATTGCCTGAGTTGTTTTATGGAGATTATTAATAATTTCCTTTTGAGATAACCTTGAAAATTATGATTCTTTGTATTGAATGCAACAAAGATAACTTGAATTTCGGGTAGTTGAGAATTTCCCGAAGAATTTTACCATATGGACGCAAATAGTTTATTTACTTCAGCGATGCTCGAACAAATGCGTTTATATTTGAAAACTAGTTGCACAATTTTCTTCTTTGCAAGTCTCATTTGCTATGTAATGAACATTATGAACTTGAGTTGTTTTTGTACTTGCTTGACGATTTAGGGACCTGAGCTTATGTGCTCAAATTAAAGAGTAGGGAGAAATGCTGATTAATGATAAGCAAATGCACAAACTGGAGCACTTATCATACATTGAGTGACAAAAAATTCGTCGTCAAACTATGTATTTCCGATCATGGCATTTACTGCCAGAGGAGGGACATATAGGGAAGGACATGTGATCGAAAGGGGAGTTTCCGCGAGGTCAGCTGCAACAAGTACGCACCTCTTAAATAAGACGAGCTTACACACAACGACAAGTGATCATATTTGTTGCAGATGTCCTCGTAAGCCTCCCCTTTCGGCGTTCTCCACCCGTTATCCAGTCCACGCCGTTCGGGGGCGCGCGTCTGCCTCGCAACTGTTCGCACCTGTCGCAAGTACAGTATACGATATCGTGCTGGGAACCTGTGTGCGTCTCATAATTCTCTTCCATTTCTGGGTTACAAAGATGCCAGCTACGCGGACGTGCAGCTGCACATGAAACACTGCCTAAGTAGGAATGGACGGTAAATGGTCCTCTCGAAATGAAAAAAAATTGGTGGTCAACAGCTACCGGAAGCAAAGGCAGTAAAATTCCAGTCAAAGAATTTTCATGCCCCCTTCCTGAGCAGTGGTTGTTTAGGGGTCCTAATCAGTATCCACATATGTAAAGTGTGCCCTTTATGAGTTCTCTCCAAGAAGCAGCTGAAACGTCGACGAATACTTCACTATCATTGAGGAGCCAAAAATCAGTAGGAAGCTCTGTTCTACATTCACGATTCGGTTCCATTTGAGTACGCAAAAGGTCATGCGCCCTAATTGCAAGCATACACGGATATCAAAAACTTACTCAGGAAATACAGGAATCATTCCTCGTAGCCGTACATTGTCCGTCATGGTGAAGGCAAAATATGTTCACCAGAAGAAGACAGGAAAATACTACCGAAAAATTAATTAATTCCACTATGACAACACCCACACAACGAGTCAGACACAAGAATAACAACCTTCAAATGGATGATACAATTTCGACAGATTATTCTGGAAGAAAGAGAGAGGATCAAGGACCATGCAAAAGGCCACCAAGCAGCTGTGAAGAGAACATTATGACTGAAAGAGTTCTTCTGAGCGAAGTGATGACGCGATGACAGTTTTGACAAGAGCCAAGCAAACACAAAGTTCTATAGAGAGTTGGTAAGTTCAAAGCGAGGAGATGCTAGGATGACAGGCAAGAAGTGTGAACGTGAATTTGATTTTTATCGATCTGTACTAGTTAAACAGATTCGCTTTTCCAAATTTTATTGGTGGTCAAAATCAGAAGAAGACATAGTAAGAATACAAAGACATGCGGGAAAAACACTGAGTACAATCAAATCTGTGGTCGTCTTATCAACTTATCTTCTGTTACCAGCAAATTCAGATATCAAGAAACAGCCTCACAATTTATATCAGGTCGTCACATTTTTGTAGATTAAGATTCGCTTTTCGAATACATGCATTAGATGTAGGAGGATAGAATAACAAAGCGGCTAAAGAAATGTTTAATCGAGAAAGAGAGAAGCTTGCGACAGGATTACGAAGATAATAAACATGTTCAGGTAAATTATAAAAGAGCCTTCTTATCCTTATTTCCAGTCTCGAAGGTCTTCCGAGTAGAAACGGTTCAACTATTTTGGACCTACCTCGGAAATTAGATAATATATAATGGCTGACATTAATAAGACAAAATTAGAAGGAAAAAACATCTCTTTTTTTGCTTCAACACTGATCTCGGCAGATTTTTTCCCTCTACTCACCTACTAAAGATTATATTTGATACGAAGAAGAGTTTTAACACTGCATGTTTGCCACAAGAATTAGGATTAAATAAGTTCCGTTACATCCAGGTGAAAAAGTCTATTAATCTATTATTAGCCTATTAAAGTTCATTAATTCCTCAAAAAAATTCATGGTACTTATGAGAACCAAATTTTTAAAGTTTTTTGAACTTTCCGAGCGGTTTCTGATAGATTCAACGTGTGTTAGTGAAAAGCTTAAGAATCCGAACAGCCTTCGCCATCTTTGCATGAAAAATCTAAAACGATGGAGAAGAAGAATGAGAGTATTTGATTATGAAGAAAAAGGGGAGGAAAGTGCCATTGAAAAGGTGCCTTCATGTTTAGAGTAACTTAACAACCGAAATTTATGCCATTAAATAGCACTTCATCCCTTTCCCATATACGGCAGATATGAGACTTGTTAAACTTTCTAGAGTTCCTCAAAGGAAGACGACAAAGATAACAAAACTTATGTACAACCTGATACATAGCTACCATGTACACTGATCATGAAAGCAACGATGCCATCCCCACTCCCCCCCCCCCTACACCCGAGCGAAACACTTCAATCAAGAACAGTCTACTGGATTTGCCCCTTTTTGCCTCAAAGCGAGCGCAGAATAGATGCTCTGCTAAAGAATGCAGTAATTTTGGCTAGCGTAATGCGCAATTTATTGGTTGGCCAAATGAACTTAGAGTATGTAGGAGGTCTGGACGAGATTGGATAGCGAATGAACCAAATCTATTTTCTTCCTAGATTGATGTCCTAGAGTGACTTAAGAACCGGTGGAAAAATCTGCACGTGAATTTGAGGTAAAATCTTCACCAAACAAATAGTCGCGAATTTACGATGAAATATGAGCAGTTTTGCTAATGCTGTTTGGGACAAGATAATCAGTAGCACAAGCTCAAAAAAAACGCATGAAGTTTGCTATCCCCACAACTTAGTCGCTCACAGACAATGTTTTCAGTGCGATATCTATGAACAACGGACGATAGGATACTTGATCAGCCATATCTTTTTAGTCACATCTTCTTTGACCTTTGGGGTATAATGGAGCTTTGGCAACAGTTGTTGGGCTTTTTTTTGTATACTAATAATTGCCATTTTCGCACTTCGCTTATTTTATTGTGGACTCATTATTCTCTAGTCTTTTCAATATCAAAGCGATATGAACCGGTGCCTCAACAATTCTGATGACTCCCGTGATGTTACCACACAAAACGTTTATATGCATTTCTTCCCCATGGCTTTTCAGCAGCAGTACAATGTTAACTAGCGAAGAGTAGAATGAGCTATAATTAGTGCAATAAAACTGCACTGGTGAAGTTAGAAGCAACTAGGCCCATACAAGAAGTACTCAATATCTACCTTCTCATAGCGTCGCTCATACTAATTCTTTTTGTTGAAGAAGTACTGCAATAACTCAACTTTCAACATATAGAAACTTGGGTTTTTTTACCTAAAAAATGCTTTCTTTTGCTAAACAGCTATGTGCGCTTGCAGAGAGATTTGCAAATTTGAAATTCTGGAGGTGGCTATTTGATTCTATGATATGATATAAAGTAATTGTACTAAATCGCATTTTGTCACAATATCGTTATGGATTTCATGAATACATGCATCATGGACATGAATAATCCATATATTCCAGATGGACCACAACGTTGTGCAACATTTCGTTATTCAACATCGTTGCCTCAAATTCTTTTCTTCAAAAAATTATTTGGGGGTTCTTGGAGAAAGTACCAATGACAACTGAGAAACGGAGCAAACATGAACTACGGATTACATGATGACACATCTACATAGTGGAGGCGCAATGTCACAACAAAGCTAGCACTGAAAGCAACGGGGGTCCAATTACAGCTCTTTGCGCCCTTGTAGATGCACATTTTTGATTCCGCAAGAAGTAGATCAAAGATCTAGGTCTAGAGAATGCTTGGGGCTTTTAGCTCACTTTCAAGCTTATTCAGTTTTGAATTAGCATGGTATGCAAGGCTCGCTAATCCATAATTTTGAGTGACTGCTACAAACTCGACCTTGATTCTTTTCTCGTCTTTATGAACGCTCAAATTGAGGTCTGAACTCGAACCTGACGAAACTTTGTTCTTGCTTGTATTTCATATTTCACTGCATTGCCTTTTTTGGAAAATACGCGGTATCAAATAAAAACAGTGCAATAAAACAAACGACGACTTTTCTACCACTACAAATTTTCAAGTCTACTGAAAAAAGGTAACAGCTAAACTGTGCGAACTATCAACACAGATGAATCTCACATTGCTGGAAGAAAGATACTGTGTTCAAGTGCTGCACACAGTCATTTGAGCAGCCTGGAACAGTGAAATACGATCACAATCGAAAAAAGTTTGTGCTGTAATCCACCCTCGCCTAAATTGTTTCGCATTTTTACTTCAACTATGTAGCTCAATGGAACTTTCCAGAATTTCCACTCGGACCTATCCTATTTTGGTGCAACACGAATGTGACCTCTCCACTTTTGAACTGCAAATTTACCCAAAAGTGACTTACCAATTCAAGGTTGCCACTGAATGGATTTTTCAATAATATTAGGCAGAGAATTACTACAGACTGATGTCCAGAGCGAATTATGAAGGAAGTATAGCAGAAGGAAGTACCAAGAAAAACTCAGTAATCACTGACGTCTATTTTGCCAACTGACTACAGACAAATTTGATTGCGCGAGAGTTCCGTTAATGACGGCAAGCGATTACAATCTTGAAGCGATCAAAAACTATCAGTAAATAAATGCAAGATTCTTCAACAAATGAGCTTCAATTGAATGTTGTAAGTTATTTTCGAAAGTAAACACTTGAAGTCAGGACGTTTCTCATGTATTTATTACAGTAGAGCGATAGCGAATGCAGAGGGTTGTCATAATTTTGAACATTGTAATATACGGCAGGCCTCATAATGCGTTCCTTCCTTTTTTTCATGAGTTAGGATCAGAGGGAGAAGGGATTGTTCTTGTATGCTGGTTGCTAATTTTCACTAGTTAACAAACTTTCGTTCCTTTTTTGACTTCATTTTAAAGCATTCCCAGCTCATAACTTTCAAAGTTCTATTATTGATTTGGCTAATAGTGGCGTTACGATTTGGTACTTTAAGATATAAGTGTACTTGTGTGGAAGCTAAAGCTGGAGTATTTGCGATGTGAGCAAATGAGGTTGATATAGAATATTATTGCATTTTGCTCCGGAGCACGGCTAAGATATATACGCCGTTGCTATCACATACTAAGAATTACCCGAACACTATCTCATATGTCCTCTTATCTTGAAACCTGGGCATTGTATGAGGTAATTAACTTCAATGATTTTGTGAAAATTATTAAAATTAAAAAAATTCAAAGTGACTGATACCTTTTAGCCTCCGACGACGGCGTGTAGCCGAAACGTAAGGCAATAAAGTGTTACCAATAACAACCTGTATACGGCAGAAGAAAAATCATTGAAGTTAATTACCCGAACACTTTTTACCCAATCCTTACATGATACCTGGAAGCCATTGAATGTAGTGCCAGAATGGAGATTGCGTCGATGCAATTATTATGATTCTTTGTTCCATGCCAAAAAAGTATGTTATGTTGTGAAAAATTGTTGGAAAGGAATTTCTGTGCAGTTTTCAATCTCTAACGCCAAACCGATATCCTACAATTGCAATAAGTTGGTAAAAAGAATTATGACAGAAAATGAAGATTACAAAGTAAATGTTCTTTTATTTTTGCTCGACCGGGTGGTCATTCTAAACATAAAAAGCTTTGAGCGCTTAATCTTACCGTTTCTCGGACGGTGTATAAATAAAGTTCTACACTTATTTGCTAGCAGCAACGCAAATAGAGCAGAATTCAAATACAGTATCAGACTATGAATACTGCAAAGGGGAAAAGATTTGCTTTCTGAGAGCGTGGATACCCTATATCAGTCATTTATTCATCTTATGCATCTTCTACATCGCATTTTCCCACGAACGTCTTATTAGATCTAGCACTTTAACTTTTTTCGACAAAAAATTGAATGCAGGCAATTACATTTTTATTGAACTTATGACGAAATTCGCGAATTGCTAGTAACACCTTAGTCAGAGAAGTTACTACGTGAAAGAAGAAGTGTGCAGAAATTTCGAAAAAAAAAATTCTAATTACAAAAGAGAGGTATCTCAGCGTATCA